TTTTTCGGCTCTTTTTAATAAAAGTGGGGGGAATGTTGTGATCGGAGTTTTTTCCTTCCTCCACCTGGTCTGCTCTTCATGTGCCAAGATAGGCCACCTCAGGTGAGTGAGCTAGGCCAGGTGGGGACAGCACGCCCCCTGCAGGAGATCGTCACTATTGTGACATCACAACTGTCACAGATCATTGTCTAATATTCTGCACTCCGTACCGGACGTGTCTAGATTGACGATCCATCTACAATTCTATCAAAGAGCATAACAATAGACAGCGATCACTCACCAATTCAGTAAGTAGACACAGTGAATACTTTAGTATTTAGGTACTTTACATTTTTGCAGTCGTTGTTGTCAACTTTAATCCTCGTGATTCCAGATAAGAGAACTCTACGTCTCACTATAAATGCCTATTAAGAATACCTCATTTAATTAAAAATGCCTTCTATCAATTAAAAATACGACATTCGCATGTCACATTTTACGACTTTGACCTCAGTGGGTCGTCCTGATTCTCGAAGAAACCCAGAAACGCAAGTCACAAGTATTCCATAAATGCTTGAATGAGAAAGTGAAAGTGACTGGAGTTTGTTGCTGAAGTTATGTTTATGTGTGGTTTCTCATATTTTGCCTGTGAAGAGAATCTGGGTCTTTGTAGCACTTTGCATTCAATGTAGAGCTATGGTACGTTGAAACCTGTGTGGTTTGTCTGGATTTACAGGCTAATCACTAATGTAGGCGTATGTACTTAGCGCAGCGTTTAAGTCCGAAAACTGAAGTAATTAAGTGTTTGGTGTGTCGCACGGGCCCTGTTTGGTCTGTTTGAGCGTTCTGATTACAAATTGTTTCCTACTTGTACTACACGCTCTGCAATCCAAAGATGAACTATAGATCAATGATGCATTCATTTAATACAGACTTAAAATGCCTTAAGGCAAGTTTAACATGTATGGTCTACTGGTATGATAATTAATTTGAAAACGTTACAGAGTTCTAAGTTTGCCATACATGTAGCAGTACTGTTGTAAATTATCTCTACAGAGTTTATAAATATTTACTGTTGTGAGCTGTTAAATTTGCTTATCTGTGTCATACTGTACTTCCTTTTTATCCATTTGATCTTCTTGTCTTTTTTTCGCAGGGCTGTTGTGCAACTTGCTAAAATTTGGCCAGCATAAATATATTACAGAAGAGAACAAGCGCATGCTGGTATATCCATGGCAGCTGAGCAGCAGTAATACCAATAGCTTCAGTTTAATAGGAACTATTTTAGAAGAGAATGTAACTTGACCAGGAGCCTGCGCTTCAGCTGCTACCGGTAATTTCACAGATAGAACAAGTGCCCTTGGGTTCTCATACTGATGTACACTGCTGGTTTTCACATGGTTAATTCGAGGAAGAAGGACGTCCCTCATGTACTTCAATGTTCCCCGTGCCAAGGAGAGTACGTTCATTCACAGGTCCACATGCAACATGTTTGCAGTCAGCAGAGACCTATGCCCTGCGCTTTACACAAAAGAACAACAGCACGCCTTTTGATTTCTTCCTACAGAAGGCCCTTTTCTTCTGTCACCTGCGTTTTATGATATACTTTACCTCAGGGATACTCGCCATGATGGCTCTAGTGACTGTGACTCTGTTGTTTGGGCTAGGATTCCTGTTCATACATTTATTCATAAGGTTCCAATACAAGTTGACTATATTTCTAATCCTACTTGGGAGGCAGAGGTTGAATTTTGATGAACTCAATAACTTTGTTATATATTGGCTGCAAGTAGCAGTGCAGTTCATGGGAGGATTTGGATGGATAGTGCTACTTTATGTTGATATGTGAATATATACAGTGGTGAAAGTCTGCACTGCAAGATAATTAAGCAATTAAACAAATAATAAAAATAGGTCCTTAGTTGGCATGCTGTATGACATTTCAGTTATATTGTCATTATCTATTTGCTTAAAAATGCAGCTGGTTTAATCAAAATATGTGCTTCAATTGATGTATCTAATAGCAATTACTTTTAATGCCCATAAAATCCCGCAATCTGTATAATCTAAGGTCACATTGCTGGTACATAAAAGGAAAACTCCTGTCTGGATGGTCAAGTTGCTTGATAATATATGTAAATGTTTGTTTTTTTTCATCAAGAATCATTTTCCACCATTTCCAATAAAATGGAGTGTCTTAAGTTTTTTTAATACATTCAGTTCTTGATATAGGTATTTGATGTTGAACGTGACTGGCACAGTTGTCTCTTGCCAAGTAGCGTGGTACTTTGTTGCTAAAAAAAAATAAAATGCTAATAATTATTTAACTATAATTGATGCTGTAGTGATGATAACGTTGAGTTGAAGCTTTCAAACATTTACATGTATTCACCGACTAACTTTACGTACAAATACAAGAGTATTTTTATCCCATTTTCCTTACTGGATCACTCCTTTACTTATTTTCTTTACATTATCTTCTGTGTAATCACAAAAAAATTCTATTCTACTTTTTCCATTCCACCATTCAATACTTTCTTCTTAGGCAATGTATGTGAGGTTTATTTTCAATTAAAAATCAAAATACTATTTGCATTTCATCTTGCTTGGATCGTACCCAAATTCAGTTTGCATGTGGATGCTAAACACGTGACAGATTTTACAATTTGATTGTGGAATTTACCAGTCAAATAAAACTATATGTGACTTTTACATTTCCTATCTTTTCCTAACACGAAAACGACTTGCACACTTCTCGACTCTCAAATAAATTTAGGTAGATGCAAGGCCATTCGTTAAAATGGCCCAAATTGGTCAAAATAACTTTTTCGTGTATGGAAATTACTTATCTACATATTAGTGCAATAGAATTAAACACAGAGCAAAATGTTCCCTTTTTGTTATTTCATTCACTGCCCCACGCGCTTCTACTTTTAAGCTCCGCCATTTATCGCCAATTTAACTTCTTTGTTTATTTGGTGTAAAAAAGTTCCAATAAGTAAGTAACTCTGTAAGCTAATTCAGATATTAACAGGTAAATTGTAGTAATTATAGTTGTGATTAAATAGGTATTAAAACGGTGTTGATGGTAGTTCAGTTGTGGTACATGTAGATCTGCTTGTATTCAAAAACACAATTTTCACCACAAAAACTTACCTGTTATGTCATCAGCTCGAAGTACTTTTGATGTGACAGCATTTCTCGTAAAATGACAATATTAATTTCGAATTCTACATTAATTTCTACTAAGGAAATAGATCCTCACGTTTCTATCTACCTCAAACTTGCACTCAAAACTCGATGGACTTTTACATATTTGATCTTTCTTTACTTATTAAGTGAAGGCGTCAGCCTATTAACTTAACAACATGCACCCTTTCTTCAAATGAATACGTCTACAACATTGATTTTAAAAGCCTATGATAAAAATTGCATACAAATTATTGCAGTTTTAGTCTTGTCTCTACATGTTTTAATTTTTAATTCACCTAAACCAGATTGAAATTCAGCAATGATAAATAAAAAGTATTCATATGATAAACTGTATCGAATTGTTAAGCTGTTTCCATCACCAGCACAGACCGTAGATGGTTAGCCAAACTTTGCTGCAATATTTAAAAATTAATAAATGAAGAGAAATATATAACTGAGATATGAAAAATCATGAGCTGGTCTTTACGAATAATATTGAAGTAAATATAAATAAATTTTCATATAGCCTGTGGCACAGTCTGAGAACGTAATGTGTGATTTTAAATATCAAGTGCGTTTAAGGGTACATATTTGGCGGGTTAAACGTCAAAAGGGCACTTTTTATATGAAGTTGCCTTCAGAAGTAATGCTTGAACGGTTTTTAAGGTCATGTCCGCCAGAGACGAATGACCATTTTTTATCTTGGTCGATTGAGCATGGCATTCTCTCATTCATTCTGTGCCTGTTTACGCCTTGATTAAATGAAACACCAATTTTATTTCTTAAATTCTGAAAAACAGTATCTTTTTGAAAGGGCACTCCGAGACCGGACAGTTAAAACTATTCCGTCACCTCATTTACCGTGTACACAAATTTATAGCGAACCGGGTGAGGGGGTGGGGGTGGATGCGGCAACATTTCAAGAACTGATATCCTCCAGTTGGACATAAGTTAACTTGGATGTCTACCTGTAAATGAATGATTTAAAAATTATCTATTCAGTTATACTCGGATTACAGTTGTTGACAGGGACTCTTAGCTAGAGTAGCAGTTTATAAATATTTGCCCGGGGTGTCCTTGAACGCGTTGCTTGCACCACATATGGCAACAATTGTTACATGTTAAACTACGCGTACACATTGAAATAAACTGAAAAGTCAAAAACTGCAGAATGCAAACTTTCCAATATTCATAAAAAATTAAGCATTAAAGATGAGCGTTTTTAAAATTACATTTTTATACCAAGATACGTCCATCAGTTTGCTTCAAGGTTTGGGATTGGTGTGTGTGTGTTTTGTAAGCAATCGTTTTCTTGATTATTTTTGTCATTGAGTAACCCAGAAAAAAGAAATGACCCTCCTTTTTTCCAATTTAACAAGTCGACGTACGTGTCGCCGTTTTAGAATTTTTTATTGCACATTATCCAATAACGTTTTTATGGGAGCTCAGAAATATCTTTGAACAATTTGTGATACATGTAGAAGTGGTTTTTTATTTAGTCACGCTACATTTACCACTTGTTATGCCTCCAGTGTCTCTGCCATAGAAGATAAGACAAAAAACTTATGAGACTTGTCATAGCCGTTAAAATGGATTTCTTCGAGCTGGGCGTGCCAAAAAATAATAATAATAATAAACATCCCCGGCACACAAGGCAAATATAGCTTTAGGCTAGGGTTCAAAAAGGGTCTGTCTTCGTGATTACCATCAAGGCGGGTCCCATTCAATAAACAGTGTTGCCCAGTTTCCTTACGGTAGGTTACACTAACATAAGTGTTGAGATTATGTCCGTAATTTTAACACAGTAATGGAAAGAACAAAATACTCAGTAAGTTACAACTGCCGCTATCTGAATTTTAAAGATACATATCAGGTCAACTTTTTGCCACAAAAGTCAACCAAATGCCAGCATATAGTTTCAAGTAGTATAACTAAGAGAATTACCAAAAGGCATAGTTTAATTTTCCTGAAAGTGATGTTTGAGCGGATTTTTCTGCTAGCATTCTATGCTGTATGTCAATGAAGCAGAAAAGTAGGTCACAAAAGTAGGTTAAATTTATGACCAAAAATTTAAAGAAAGGAGCAGTCTTAAGGTCTTTTACGGCTGATCGAGTGATCTATGCAGTTTATCCCTCTGCATGTCAAATTTATTCGAGTCATATAAGAAACTAATAGAAGTGGTTTATATGTGTTACTGGAAATCCACGCTCCACTGATGCTCGGTTCGTATGTACCTTTAAAGGTTTTAAAAATATTTTACTCTCATTGTTATTAATATTTTCTCCAAAACTTCCTGATATCAGTCATAAGCATTTGCGAGTATTTTCCCCTCTGTTGGGAGTTTACCTAAAGGGACCCTTATATATTTTACACTGTATACGTTCACCACTTATTTTCCATATGTTTAGTGTGTATTATACTTAAATTTGTCTAATTTATTTTCCTCTACGTTTTTGGATTTCACTTTCCCTATTTTATTTTAGTAATCGGATTAATTGTTATTTTATTGGATACATATCCGCATCGTTACATCTTTTAAAGTCTTACAAATATTTCCAACCAGCTAGTCTCCCCCTTTTCATCTCTTTTAAGTGCATACTGACCAGGAATGTAATAAAACAAATTTTCAGCCACAAAGATTATTTATTACTACTGGTCAGGGTGCTCGTGTGTTAAAACACTTTATCGCTTCTCGCCTCTCACATCTGCCTGCTTTCACTCTCCAATTTAATCTCGATAGAACAAGCAGATGTGAGAGTTCTGAAGCAACAAAAAGTTCACGAGCACCGTGACCGGTAGTAACAAACAAACAAAAAATCTACATGGCTGAATATATTTTTTATCATGGAGATACACATGTAGGTATTTTACGGGTCGACATAGAATAACATTTTAATAATTTTAATAATTCACAAAAATCTATGACTTCTTATTAGTTCACAGAAGAGTAATTTGAATTAAAGGGAGGGGACAAATGGTTGAATGTGTT